GAAATGGTGTTGGGTAGAAAAGCCTGGCTCCCTTCAGGTCTCCCAGTCCACTCCATTCTGCCCTGGCTGCCCCTGGAGCCTGCGGGGCCCGCCCTCCTTCCAGGTGGGGAAGGCGGCCAGCCCTGCAGGAGCAAATCCAGCAGGAGCAGCCTCTGTACCCAGACTGCGTCCACTGTGAGCAGTGCCAGGGCCGCAGCTTGGCCGTGAGGGTGCAAGGGCTGGGATGGGTGGGGCCCTGTCACCCTGGACAGGGCTGGACCGGAATTGAGGGCCTGGGAGGAGACAGGGAGAAAGACAGTGCATGAGTGACAGGTGGGGGTCAAGTCAGAGAGAGTGACAGGAGGTGATAGAGGAGGACCAGGTAGAGCGAAGCAGAGACAAGACAAGGCAGGAAGGAAAGAAGGAGTCAGCCCAGGGTGCGTGGTGGGGACCATGGGCCAGGGTGACTCGGAAGGGGAGTTGGCCCGTCCTTCACCCTACAGCTGCCACTATCAGGGCCCCAGGGACCAGCAGCCCGCCCAGGTTACAGGCACCATCCACCCTCAGGAGGGGGCCGAGAGCCGCCCCCACTGCCCTCTGGCCACCCCGGTAAGGGGCACCAGGAGGGCTCCCCCAGCACCACAGAGGTGCTGTCTCTAGTTTAACACAGAGACACTGTGAGCAGGCACCGTCCGTCCCCGTTCCACAGAAGGGAAACTGAGGCTCGGCCAGCCGGCTGACCTGGCCCTGTCTGCAGGGTTATTTAGTTTCCTGATTCTTCTTTCCCAGTCAGGTCGGTGCCCCCTGTGTTACTAAGAAGGTCCATGTGTGCAGGATGTGTGCACGTGTCGGGGGCGCAGGATCCCGGGAAGCCTGAGGGAGGTGGGCACGTCTGCCCTTGGGAGGCCCCGGTAGGCTCAGATAGAACTTCCTAGGGCAGCCCCACATCCTGAAGGGTAAGTGGGTGTTTGCCGGGCAGAGGACAGGGCAGCCCAGGCCGAGGCATGACCTGAGCAAAAGCCTGAGCACATGAGTGTCTTCAAGGTCTGCAGGTGTTCGGGGTGGCAGGACCCTGAGCAAACAGAAGTGTGATGAGAGTGAGGGGCTGAACGGGGCAGCCTGGAGCAGAGCAAGCACAGGACGGGGTCCCCACCTCACCCTCCAGCAGCTGACCACCTTGGGTCCTTTCTCCTCCTGGGCAGCTCCACCTGGCTTCCAGCCA